GGAGGAGGATATGCAGGGATATAACATGTGTCATGCAGTGTCCGATCTACAAACGGACTCGAGTTCAAAAAACATGAATATCATTTTTGACTAATTTTTGGTTAGGATTGACATGAAGCGATAGGCCAGTGAAGTGTGACATGCATCAAAAGCCCGAAAAGCAGGGTTGTCAAGGCGAGGCGGAAGCAAGGCATCCGGTTAACAAGATGTTTAGAGGAGATTTTGTCGGCTAGTCGATTGTAGCATGCAATGGTAGGGTCGGCCTTCGGGGGCATAGTCAATGACAACGGAAAGACTAATGGCGGCAGGATGTGACCGTAGAAATCTTGAAATGAAAGTTAACATGCCGAATTGTATCTAGCTCCATAAATCTTGGAGTCTACTGGGAAGGCTAAAAGCAAAGTTGCTTGGTCAAAGGACAGGTTAGAGGGCATGTAGGCAAATCTGAACTAGTTGACTCAGGTCATGTTAATTGACCAAGTATGGGATCAAGAAAAAAATCAAGTCTTGGTGCATAGATTGAGAGACATTTAGATAACCTTGTGTTTGCCAGAAATCGTCTGCATGGCACCGCCTTTTTTCTTTTTACCGCCAGCAGCTTCTGAAGAGAGCAAATCAGGTATGGCAGGCATTCGAAGATAAAAATGTAAAAATTTTAAGGCTTCAGCAATGAATGACATTTGCTTGTACCCCTGACGTTATGCACAACCGCAAAATAAGATTCGTATAAATTTCACCATTTTGCAAATGCGACAGCAATTTAAGATTTGAAAGGGATGCTGTGGTAATTGCATCACATTTCGCATAAAAGCATGAATTTCAGCCGCTAAGATTCATGTTGCTGCAAAAATCGAGCCTTAGCAAAAAAAAAAGTTTTGGTATTCTGTAGCCTTTTGGCATGGTGCGGTTGGATGGTGAATTCACAAAAAATTTTAACAATAATGAGTAGAAATGACAGCAAAGAGATGAGAAGCCACAAAAAAATCCTGCTTCATTTCAGGCATAACATTGCCTGCTTGTCTCGTATGTAATTGTCTTTAAAACATTTTAAATTCGAAACCGGCGAGGCGCCGACGAGTCCGGAATAAGCTCTGGTGTATCAATGACGAGTATTAATACTAGGATAAGTTTTCCATATTCACATAAATTAGCCTTCAAAACTAGCATCAAATCTTTAGAAAGAGTCCAACATACACTAGGTCGCATAAATTAATAAAAAACTAATTGTTAAATTTTCTCATAATCATATTAGTGCCGCACGATTTCGATAAATTTCAAGAGCTATTGATAATTTCGAAATCTGCTATTCTTCAAAATAAGTACCGTAATTGTTTTTTTAAAATCAAAGCGAAAGTTCTCCTCATTGCAAATCTCCCTATAAGTGTGATATGGTATATGGCTGGTCGTCCTTGTCATTCACACTAAAATATCAGGGTACTGATTAGAAGTAAGTCAAGGTTGAAGCGCATGTCCAGTTAAGCCTGAATAAAATCAAAAGAAACAAAAAGTCTGCTCTTATGATTGCGGCAAAAATTCCACTCAATGCCACTAGAGCTAGCTGGAATTATTATTTACGTTTTCTAGGAGTGTAAGTTTAATTTTAAGTTATGCAAGTTTCATATTTTATTCATTTTACATCGACTCTTAGGGACACAGCATGACTATCTAGTTGCGGTTCCTATGGCAGGGCATGTTTGGTAAAAAAATTGCAGTAGATTCTTGCCAGTTGTTTATCAAGAAACATAAAAATAGACGTAAAAGCGTAACAGGCCGGTCACATTGAGGATAGTTGTTAGAGGAGTTAGGGCCGTAGGCTAAATTAAAAAGCGTTTAAATGACTAGAGGCAGTGATGAAGGCCAGAGAAAACGGTAAACATGGTCCAGATGACAAATGTCTTAGGTTTTATGCGCATGTACAGTAGAAAAGCAGAGGGAACAGAACGATAGATTGAGTCATCTGGCAGTGCGATAGCAGTCAGTGGTCATAGCTCCGAGACGCAAAGACTTTTGCACTGCACTCTGTGAATCGGGTATTCATGCAAAAATAGTAAACAAAAGAAGTCGCAAGCCGCTATCACCAGCACTTTAAGGTATAATGCACCAAAACTGAAGTAAAGCATGTGAAATGTGCAACCGGACGTTGGCTGTGTGAGAATTTTGAACCTAATCAAATCCCATTAATTTCATCTTTAGGCGGAACGTTTCGACTCTTGTATGATTTACCACATAGTAATCTCATATAAACGAGATTAACACATTATTCTATTACTACTCATGCTTTCATCAGTAGTAAGTTGTGCAACAGCCGAAGTACAAGCGCGCTCAGTTGGCATTTTACAGAGCATAGCACTAAACTTTGCATAAGTCTAGAGAATTAAGTTATTATAATTCTTGTATTTGGTTCTAGTATACTGGAATCTGAAGACTATTTTGCTATCTTTTTGGAGACCCGGTTGTCTGGGTCTAGTTAGTTCGTCTCTTCCATACACCGATGATTTTAAGGTTTTTTGCAGTCTATATTCCCTATGTGTGTGTTTCAAAACAATCAGTAATTCTTGGATGAGAACTTGGCCACCATATATCACTTAAGAAAATTTAATGACTGATAGTCAGGTTTTCCCTATAAAAATATTTGTAGGCTTCATGATGCTGTTAAATTCCACTTGGCCGTCTACAGAAAAGTTTTCTACTCATGACTAAATTACAGGTTCTAACTTGTCTCCCCAACTACTACTTCGATACACAGTCATGGCTTTCAGTGGTTCACAGGACGGATGTAACTCTTAGGGCAATCCAGGCCTTCATCAAATTGCATCTAGAATGGGAATGTCAGTGAAGCATATGTGCAGGATTTTGTTTTTAAACTTGACAACAATAGACATATTCCACGTGAATATGCTTCGTAATTAATGGCAGGCCTTGAATAAAAAAATCTTGTAAAAGATTTTAATTCCTGTTCATGAATTAGCGAGAGCTTCGAGAAATACTTGTGTCGAATAGAAGTAAGATTTTCAATTACTAATCGTTTGCCACGCCGATGCTCCAACAAAAAATTAGCTTGACAGATGCCTGGTTTGCCCCGAAAGTGACATCTTCCATGCGACCTGCTGGCGGGACAGGAACAAATCGCCCCGATGTAGATGCGTAGATGGAGGAAAAGCTAAGTAAAAGTAAATGGTCTCTTGTTGTGATCTTGGAAAAACTCCACTTTTCATCTTTAAATCTTCTCTTGTCACCCAAGTTCACTAAGTTTTTTGCCTGTAGACTAGTTACTAGTATCGTTGATGTCACGAAAGAAACAGTGCAGTTCATGAAATTAACCCTCTCTAAAGATATAATAGCCGACAATAAATAAAGAAAACTTTGAAAAAATTGTGCCTTTTGCCGAATAGGAAGACATTAAATTACAAAATACTCTGCCACATTGGGCACAAATGAAGGGAAATCTCATCTTTTTTGTGTGGCAGACGATACGTGGCGCGAAGTTCTAGAGGCAACAGCCTCCAGATCTTATGCTGAGATTCAACAATTCTGCTTTGTCATCAACGAGGAAATTTTCACTCCTTCATATAATCTCCCTTATCTGCGAGAAAGACTTTCATCATGGCCTACCACTTGGGGCAAAAAGGTAATCGTGGAAGGTAGTTGAAAATTAGCTTAATCGGAAGCTGAAGAATGATTCCCATTTGAAAGCTGTGACTGAAGATTTGCCCAAGAATGTCCTCAACATATCGTCCAGAGATACTGATGAATTCGAGCTGACCTTTCGTCTGCCTCGTTGTTGCAGACATTTTTGCAGATCGTGCTCTCTCAAATATGAAGAGGAGCATTAAAAAAAAAGGTTTTTCATTTGAAATAGCAGATGGAAGTGATTCATAAATCGACCATGTATGAAGGACTGCCAACACTTTCCTTGAT